ACATTATTATAGAGCTTTATTCCAAAATGTTGAAATAAATCTTAATAATGTGTATATGTTTTGTTTACAACATTTAAACTGTTCCTAATAATGTGAAGATCAGATACATTACCGTAGATGAGCTCTGAGCGCCGCTGTTGATACATCACTGACTTAGCTGCCTTAATAAGCAGTGCAGCGGTCCACCCCTTTAACTCCATTCATCGATTTACTGCTGGGACAGAAGACGGTGTGGTCCGTCAAATCTGAATGTGTGGAATCTCTCTGCTGAAACATCGTAACCTTATTCTATTTCTGGATTGAATTGCATCGGTTCTGCATTGAAAGGAATAACTGCGTCTGTATCTTTGGATTTATGATGGCCTGTGTGTGGAAAATCGCCCGCAGAGGCCGATGTCAGGGGCTGCTTGCTATTCTTTGTCTTTTCCATCTGAGCTCAGTGACTGGACAGGCTCGGTATTCCGTACCGGAGGAGCAGGCTGAGGGGTCGTTTGTTGGAAACATTGCTCGAGATTTAGGCTTGGATGTGGCGAGGCTCATATCAGGTAAAGCTCGCATTATTACAAAAGGCAGCCGACAGTATGTTGATTTAAACCGAGACAAAGGCACCCTTGTTATTAAAGAGCGAATCGACCGGGAAGAGCTTTGTGGAAAGACGACGCCGTGCAGCTTTAGTTTCGAGGTAATTCTTGAAAATCCAATCCAGCTTTATCGAGTAACAGTGGAGGTGGTAGATATTAACGATAATAGCCCATTGTTCCCAAAGGATGCTGTTAATTTGAAAATTGTCGAAAATGCTGCTGCAGGTACTCGCTTCTCATTGGAGAGTGCAGACGACCCTGATGTTGCTATTAATGATATCCAGAAATACACCCTTAAACCCTCAGATAATTTCAAATTGGAAGTACAGAACCAACCGGATGGAGGCAGATTTATTGAGATGGTTTTACAGAACCCGTTAGACCGAGAGAAAGAGGAGACGCACACACTCGTGCTGATCGCCTCAGATGGCGGCGAGCCACGTAGAACAGGAACAGTGCGTATTCATGTCACTGTCCTGGACGCTAACGATAATGCGCCAGTGTGTAGTCAGCCTGTATATAAAGCAGATGTCAAGGAGAATTCTCCTGAAGGGACAGTGGTAACCACTGTTAGTGCAGATGATGCAGATAAAGGACACTATGGTGAAGTAACTTATTCCATAGCTCACGTTGCCAGAGAAGCGAAGCAGCTTTTTGAAGTGAATGTTAAAACTGGAGAGATTAAAGTTACAGGTAAATTAGATTTTGAAAGATCTAAGACTTATCAACTAAACGTGCAGGCTAGTGACCACGGGGGTTATACAGACACGTGCAAAGTTATTATTCAAGTAATTGATGAGAATGACAATGTCCCAACAATACAGCTTATGTCATTTTCTAACTCTATATCCGAGGATTCGCCCCCAGGTACAACTATAGCTGTTGTTAATGTTGATGATGAAGACTCTGAGGGTAATGGTGTGGTAAAATGCTCCATTAACTCTGACGTACCTTTTAATATTGAGTCTTCATTAACTGGATATTACACCATAGTAACTGAAAGCACCTTAGACAGAGAAAGTATCCCTGAGTATAACATCACCATAACAGTTTCTGATCAAGGCACTCCGCCTCTGTCTGCTACTAAGAACATCAATGTCAAAGTGTCTGACGTGAATGACAATCCACCCACATTTGATAAATTGGAATACAGTAAGAACTTGCCAGAGAACAACTCTCCTGGATTTTCTGTGTTTACTCTCAGTGCTACCGATGCAGACGGAGGCCAAAACGCTCGTGTTTCTTACTTCATAGAGGAAAAACAGATCAATGGGGCACAGGTGTCTTCTTTAGTGTCAGTAAATTCAGAAACTGGTGCCATTCATGCAGTTAGGTCATTTGATTACGAACAAATTAAATGGTTTGAATTTAACGTAACTGCTCGTGATGCTGGATCCCCTCCTCTGAGCTCAGTGGCTACTGTCAGAATACTGATCCAAGACCAGAATGACAACCCCCCTCAGGTTCTGTACCCAGTCCAGACTGGTGGCTCTCTGGTGGCTGAGATGGTGCCTCGTTCAGCAGATGTGGGCTA